GAAAGAGTTGGATCACTGTAAGCCACAGCTTTGGTATGCAGCCAGCAACTCAGGCCTTTTTCACTTTAAACATAACTTCTCCCTCCACTGGCTTTCTCTAGGAGCTGTAATTTTTAACAGCTTTTCCTTTTGAGCTTCAGCATCAGCAGAGTTGGAAGTTGATCACCTCACCTGAAAAAAGGTAGCCCCACAACTGGTTAGAGGATTTACTTTAGAGCTGGTTGCCAATAGAGCAGTGAGGGTTTTTTTAAACAAAGGATGGACTATTTTTTAAATGAAGTCTTTTATGTAGAAAGGCTCTTTGTTTCTCAGAATAGCTTAAGTTTTCATCAAACAACTGGAAACAAAAAATTGCCATGCAGGTTTTGCTTGAAAACTGTTCCATATAGATACTTCACCAGAACTTTTTTTTCCAAAAGGAAAATTTTTCTGACTAGGCAAAGTAATTATCAGATAGCCAGATTATCCTTAATACAAAAAACGTTAATTAATTTTTGGGGCATTATAAAGCTCCTGAAGTGACCCTGAAATGTTCAGTGGTGCTTGTGGTGGAATTCACAAGCATTTTTGCCCTCCAGTCTTCTTGACACACAACCCTTTGCACATACAGTTAAAAGAGGCAAGTCTAATGTATAGATATCTGCCTTCCTAATGTATAGATTCCATACCTGCATATGCCTGTGCACTGGAAGGTGCGTGTGCTGCCAGGCATGTCAGGAAGAGGAGTACCACAGCCATCTGGACAGACTGCAGTGTGTTGCTTGTTCAGTCTACGTCATTTTCTGTAAGCAGATCTGAAAGGAAAATGATAGTGGAGGGATGGAAGAGAAAAAGCAAAAGGAACAAGACGAAAAGGAAGCTGAAAAGAAAAGCTATTGCCACTGCGGAGGGAGACCCCTTAAGTACAGGAATATATACACAAGTATTGCATCTAGATGGTAGCTAACTGCAAATGGAAAAATGCAACCACCTGTGTGAAATTGAGGATTAGCCAAGGGCTTCAGCTGTTGAAGCCACCAGGATCCAGCCACAGTTCTGGTGTGCTAATTCTCTAGAGCAGGCAAGACATCTAACTTCTGTCTCAGTAAAGCCTTGTGTAAAATTACAGTGCTGCAAACCCCCAGATGATTAATCACAGCTCCATGAGCAGCAGAAATAACAAAGTAAGCCAGCCAAGAGACCAGTTTCCTCAATCCCTGCTCCTTCCCACTGAAACAATGCACACACCATCCCATCTCAGCTCTAGAAATGCTGCTAGACCTTCACATAAACTCCACCACCAGCAGGCACAAATGTTTCCAGGTTTTTACAGCCATTTTCGGCATTTTTCCTTCCACTTCCCACCCCCAGCATGCTCTACCCCTCCTCAAGTCCCTAAACTGGCAGATGGGAAAGGGAAAGCCTGTATTTATCAGGCAGCCAGCCAAGCAGAACAGATAAATCATATGCTTGCACCGCAGCCCCTCAGACTAAATTTGGCTGAAATCCACTGAGAAATTTAAGAACGCTGGGAGGGAAAAGCAGGAGAGAAATTACAGAAAACAATCACACAAACTTCACCTTTACAAGAAACAAGGTGAAGATAAGCACCAGGCAGATAATCTGACTAGTGGCAATATGCCTGGGTGACAGGAGGACTGTAAGGAGCTCTAATGCCAAACTTCTTAGTCACCATCACAGGTTGGGTTTCTTTTCCTGTTGTTCTCCCAGGAAGTTTCAGTTCTAGCTTTGCCAGTCAGTGACAGCACCACTGTGCCATTTGCTTCAGAGCCTGGCTTTTCCCTTTTAAAACACGTAGGTTACTACACCCCAAAAAAGCAATGACATTTCAGAAAATGCATTCACAAAAAGTTTAGCAGCTGAATTACATCAAAGCCTAAACCCTTGTGACTGTCAACATTTTAATGCTCTGCATGTACCACAAAACAAGCCCTGGAGTTCACGTTTGGCGTTGTACAGAGCAAGCAGATGGCTGGTTGAAAGAAAAGCTGAGGAAGAATAGCTTGTTTCAGGGCAGAGAAAGTCAGCAAATGTTCTTCAAACTGGTCATGTTTCTAAGTAAATCAGGTACAAACAAATATTTTCTCTTGTATCTAGGTTTGCTTCACAGTGGCTCAATCAACATCAGTCCCAAAGAGTAGGTTTGCCCAACATCTCAGCCTGGTACTGTGCTGATAAACTCCTCGTGAGGTCATTTTGAAAAGCTGGAGCTGACAGTGCCCCTGACAGAGTTGCAAACTCTGCTGGAAAAAAAAAAAAAAAGGAAAAAAAAGGAAAAATGCCTTCGATTTTCACACATTGCACTAGTAGCTGCTATAATTATAAACCTGAATTGTAGTAAGAGCCTGATGTCCTGACTTAGATGTAAAAGTTCAAAGTATTTACCTTACATGGGCAAAAAACCTACAGGGCAGAAAAAAAAAAAAGAGAAAAAAAAAGAGGAAGACATATACATAACATAGCTGTGACATAACCACAAGAGTAACAGCAGAAGTGAGCATTTAAATCCCACCATTTTCATATCAGATTCTTTAGAAATATCCCAGATTCCATCTCAGGGAAACTGAAGAAACAAATTGGGACACAAGATTAATTACTTTTGTTACAAGCTAATAGCCAAAAACACTTCAGGAGAAGAAAAAATATTTTAACTGTTAGTGATTTTTTAACTCAGCAGAAAACAAACATCTCCGCTTCCATTAAAGTGAACATGTCTCAAACCACATCAGCATACAAGGTTTCATCCTGTGGAATTTAGCAGTCTGCTGCACATCTTTTTAGAGAAAAAGCTTCCAAAAGTGAGCAGATGCAGCAGTCCAAAAGTGTCTTGGAATACTCCAAGGCATACAAATTGTCTCTTTTTGTCTCAGAAAGGATCTGCATTGCTTTTTCTGTTGAAAGTTTCTGATAATGCACCACCTCTTCACTGCCTCTCCTTAGCTGGGAAATTTCCTTTCTGGCTGCTGCAAAGTTGTGTCCTTACAGGAGGAAACATCCTACCACCAGGCTTCCTAATCAACATCAGAAGACAGGAGCAGAAAACACAGTACAACCACACGTCTGTGTTATATTCTGTACCTGTAAAACCAAACCAAAACTGTACAGAAAAGGGTATTGTTAGGAATTCCTTGCATTTGAAGTTTTGTGTCCAAAGCATGAGGGCTGCATTTGACATTTTAAAGGTATTGCTTATGCTGGCTGACTGCAGCATCTCTAAGCAAGTCTACCTCAAATAGAGTTATTATTTAGTTGCTATTTATTGTATTTAATGGTTTTATTGCAGTACACAATGCTTTCACCCTACAGACAGGAAGCCACAATATTGCAGCTAGATTTACACAGTTGGTCATCTTCCTTTCCTTCTTGAATTTGGAAAGTAGCCAAAGCAGTAAAAATCAGTAAGAAACCCTCATCCTAACAGGTACAATAGGAAGCCTTAGTGTACTAACTACTACAGGCCATAAATTACCCAAGAATCCCTGACGAGTAAAAGTTCAGCCATGTGAAAGTGATTCTACGTAGTAAAAACCATCAACAAATTCACATGCTCAACGTTCCTCTCTTTGAACAAGTCTTTTGAGTCACCCTCCATCATATCTTAAGTGTAGCAGATATATGCTCGCAAATGCAGATATGCCAAGAAGCTTCTGACACCTGTCCAGTGGTACAGAACAGATTCACAGAAAAAAAAGACACTCTGCAAGGACAAAAAAAGAAATATTAAAAAAAAAACAACAAAACCCCAAATCAAACACTTGAGATATTCTGTAATATTCTGCAAAGAGAAGAAAAAGCTTTCTTTAGGGTTTCACAGCACAAAATCCAAGAGTAAGAACAACCACCCAAGCTATGGTTTGACACCATCACTCTGGTGGATGGCAAGAGCCAACCCTGTAAAGAAATACCACATTCAGCTCAACATTATATGTTAAATATGGGATATATTAAGAATTATTTTTTTTTAAACACAGAAAAGGAAACATCTCCACTGCAACAGTGTTGTAAGCATGGTGAAATTTTACTGTGTGCCTGGCATCACATATATTTTCCTTTAGGCAACAGATTGTTTGCTGCGTTACCTCTGCAAGAAGACAATCTTCCACTTGGAAACCTCCCAATAATTTTGCTGCCTGTATAGCCATACAATGGTGATAGCCAGGGATACACCTAAAATCCTTGGATTTTAACATGCACTGAACTGCTAGGAAACATTTTAATTGGAAAGGTCACCTCCCTGGGCAGCCTGTTCCAGTGCTCTATCACCCTCATTGTAAAGAAGTTTTTCCTCATATTTGAATAGAAATTTCTGCATTTCAGCTGGTACCCATTGCCCCTTCTCCTGTCACTGGGAACTACTGAGAATATCCTGTCTCTATCTTCCTTGCACTCACCCTTTAGGTACTTGTATACATTGATAAGGTCACCCCTCAGACTTCTCATCTCCAGGCTAAAGAATCCCAGCTCTTTCAGCCTTTCCTCATAAGAGAGATGCTCCAATCCCCCTATCATCTGCATCACCCTCCTCTGGACTCTCTGTCAGTGTTAAATCCAGCACATTCACTGGAACAGATTTAGCTCTGATGAAATTTTCCCAACAACAAACAAAATTTTGTCTTTAAACTTACAAACAGTTCTAGCCACACAATAAATAATCTGAAATCAGACCTTAGCTTTTCTACTCACATCCTTACTGTCCCCATGTTCCATTAATGTATTATGCCTCTTTTTCTACTTCATTGTTGAGATGAGGGAAAAATTCTATTCCATTTTTTCCCTCTGTTATTTCCATGCCAAAGCCTTCAACGTGTTTACAAATAAATACCTATAGATTCCAGCTCTTAGTACTACTCCCAGTGAAGCAAAGGAATAGTAAAAACCAGTCTCAGGACTTTGTGATAATTACTCCCTATAGCCCTCATCAATTCTTACTGTGTCTCACACAAGTAACAAAGAGAGTGCAAGGAAAAAAAGGAAATGCAACAAATATTTTTAGAATTTTATTAAGTTTAACAAAAACTGAGAAGTAAAGGGTGGTCAGTTTGGAGATTATTTGGATATACATTTAAATGTCAACTGAGATTATTTAACAAACTGTACAACTATGTCAGCCATCATCTGCTGAGCACTAATCAATGTAATCCAAGTCTTCTGGGATTCCAAAACTTTTGTCAATTCTGCTCTCTTCAAATCCAAATTTGCGTTTGGCCCAGGACTTTATTGAAAATATGTTATCTGTAAACAGAATGAAGAGCATTCCATTTTGAATATTTAGGAAAGCATGGATTACAGTCTTGGCTATAACAAAAATCCTTCCATTTGCACTATCTCTGTGTATTTGAATAACCACATAGAAACATAATTACTAGGTAGATTTAGAATAGAAAATGTGAAGCTTTTATTAATGACATACTTTTACTCAGTATTAAGTATTCTTTTTTGGACGTTCCCTTCATCTTTCCTTGTTGCCCTTCTATGAGAAGACTGAAAGCTACAATGACAGAGTAAGCCTGCTACAGAGTGATGAGGGTGTCAATGCACAAGCATTTTGTAGGTCCTTTTTCAACCAGACACCTACTGTGTGACTGTTCACAACTGCAAAAATCAGATTAAAATTAACTATAAAGTCCTTTCTAGTCCTGAGATGTTTGTTCAGATAATGTACATCTTGTTTGAAAGCTAAAAAAAAAAGCACATTCAAATAGCTTTTACATCACTTCTCTTTTAGCACCACATTACCACTATTTTATAGTGTATATATTCTCTTCAATTCAACATAGTAATTCACTGCATTGTTGATGGAAACTCACTACATCATTCCTATAAATTGCAGCAGCATTCCTTAAGACAGGAAGTGTTCTCCATAGAAATATTTTCTCTCCTTTAACCATGAGAAATTTGGTTTGAAAACTCTCTCTTCAAAATAAAAATATGCTACAGCATAATTGTCTAATTAAATAGCAAAGTACTTTCTACAGGCTGAGGCACAGTGCCTATAACTCTGCTAAGAACTTGAGAGCAACAGCCTGTCACCAGCAGTAGAAAGCCCTGACAACAGTAGTCCCAGTAGTTATTTTCAAATACAGAACTTTATTTCCCCATATGCAGTAAACAACCCACTGCAAATGAAGATGTAAAAATAGTCGACACTATAACAATTGTATTCTGCTGCACTTGGCATAACGAATGATAGTGTGAAGTCCATCAGTAGTAGATGAATTCTAAACAAAAAATTACAAACTATATTCTAAATAATTTTTTTAAAAGGACATACATACTGCTTGCTCTGCAAAATAGAAATACAGAGCGATACAGCAAAGCTAAGCAACAAAAGAAAACTGAGTTAAATGTCACAAAAATGCTATCACAGTCACGTGCCTCAAAACTGCACAGCATTTCTCCTATATGCTCGAGCTGACAAATTAGTTTGAGAAATACCTACTTTACATTAGCACCCATCATATGGTAGCAGCAATAAGGTTCCACAAAGCATTCTACTCTTCAGAAACAGATGAAAATTCAGAAGAGAAGAACTGAACTTTCTGAATACCTGGACATCACCATTTTCCATCTCTTTCTCTATTAATGTTTTTCTCATCTTAAGAGAATTTTACTCAATCAGGAAAATGAGCTGCAGGTTTTAACATGGTGTGCAAGATAGCACCAGAAGAACAAATATGTCATGTGCAGTACATTCAGTAGCTAAACTGAGAAAATGTATTTTTTTTTTAATCATGATAATTTATTTGTAAGCAAAATACACCTAGGCATGCTTTTGTGAGGGCTCTCCTACATCAATCCCTAATAGAATTCAAAATTCTTAATAAAGAGGTCTTTTACTGAAGTTGCTCTACTCCGAAGCTGTGCTAAGAAATATAAATGTATACACACCAGTCCATCTATTGGCTGCCTCCTTGGCTACTTTGTTTGTCTGGCCTGAAACAGAGAAGAAAACAAGAAGAAAAAAAGTATACATCAGAGCAAAATCATAACATAGCTTTGAGGCATAGAGATTAAATTTTATTGCTATCATTTTTAGGGAACCACACAATATAAGGAAGTTACTCTGCTGCATCCAAACCCTTGTTCTGTTTTATGCTTTTAAAGTTTCAGCAAGCACAAAACTAAGTAAAAGAGAAACAGGAGCAAAGCAACTTAAGATACCATATGAAAAACAGTGAGTTTTTGAAATGTATTTTAAAATAAAATAATCCTAGTTTGGTTTAACCTGGGGGCTTAACTGTCTGTACCAAGACTGGAACTAGATATATGGCCTGAAGGTACTAGAGGGAACTGAGATGGAAAATACTTTATAACCCTCTCTATACATAAGTAATACATTATATATGTATGCATGACTCCATATAGATAAGGAAAATGACAAGGGTAGCAGTATATAGTATTAATCCAAAAGTTTATCATATTGCTCTGAAAGGTCTCCCAAGCTTTGAGAACCCCCCCAGTGAAATTAACATAAAATAATGTTCCTGATTATTTCACCTGGCTTCCCTCCCTTACCACTGCTCCAAATCTAAATAAATAATACTAAATTATAATTACTACAAATAGCTTTTATACAGTTTCCATGAGGCAAAACAGTATCAAGAAAAAATTCCTCTTAGATCATCTTCCTCCCATTAAAATAAGTACTGAATTAAATGAAGCAGGTTGGTTTGTAACGTGGGAATTTATCAGAATCACTATGGTTCTCACGCCTACACATAACATACTTATTCCAAGTCAGTCTTGTTAGTACTTGCATAATAATACTCATTTGAATGGTCAGCACAAAATTTGTCTCCAGGGGTACTGTGAAGTGAATATATGATCAGGTATCCATTGTTATACAGATTATACTTCAGGCAAAATTAAATTATGTTGAAAAACCATCTGCTAGTACTCAGGAAACTAAGCACTCATTATTCTATCCATAATAATTCAGTAAGTGATCTGAATAATGTTTTAATCAGAGTAAAACATCATGTCAAAAACAGTGCAGTTTACAGAAGTGACCTACAATTAGAAAGCTTGGGCGTAGCACAAGGAAAAAGCAAAAAAAAAAAAAAAAAGATGGGAAAAAAAAAGGATCATTCTTACCTTAAGAAAGATACTCCTTATTTCCTTTGCTGACTGTTGCCACCCCCACTTGTTCAGTGCCATGACTGGAGTGCTGAAAACATACTGGCAGCCACTGGCATTTTGAACAATACCTAACGCTACACAGTGCAAGTCTGCAGAGTAAGGGCTTTCACTGGTCAAGATTTTAAATGTGCTACCTATTATACTTCACTCAGCATTTGTTTGAAATGCTAGACTGGGAAGCTGTATTTGACTCCGAGTAATGAAGGTTGAAATGAAGGGGGGGGGCGGGGAAACAGGATGGTATTAAACTCTATAGATCCACAGCTACAAGATGAGAACACCCTAACTGGCAAGTGAGCCAACCTAGCCAACAGTACCTGTCAGGTCTCAGCAAAGATCTCTGCTTTGCTGGAAGCAGCTAACCAGCTGAGCCCTGCACATCTATATCACACAGCAGCTCCAAGTCCCTGCAGCTTCCAGCACACAGCACTCTGCTTAATGCACAGTGAACTGTATGGTACAGTGCATTAAAAAAAAATAAATGGTGGCAGCATGGTGCATTGACACCTTTTGAATGTTGCTTATGCATGTTAAAATACACACATGCGATCATGTGGTTTTAAAATGTGACTTGCCTTTATCAGAGAAAACACTGAGGTGACCAACAGATACAGGTGGGCAACAGGGTGATTAGAACAACAGTGGCTGCCTATAACTGAGTTGTGGCTAGAAATGAAATCATGGCAGTAAAAGCAGGAAGCTATAATGGGGAAATCCCACAGTGGGCAGCACCTTCAATGACTTAAATAGTAGACAAAAATTAAATAGTAGAAGAAAACCCCCTCCAAACAAAATAAACTCCTGAGAGTAAGTTATACAACTAAAATAAATAAATATTTTAACCATGTCATTCTTTCACACACCACCTGGGACTGATCACAAACTGGCAACAAAGTGTCATAGTAGAAGTGTGGAGGAATCACAAGCGGAGGCAGAACTTCAGGATAGGGAAGGTGACATTCAAACATTCTGGCTGAGTATCACAGAAAAGGCTGCCTCGGTTCTTCAGAGGCTGGTAACACAGATCTCCCACATTACTTTGCTGTCAGGGGACTCAGGGTTGGGAAAACAAAAGTCAGTCATAAAGCCTCCAGCACATGGTATCTCCAGGAAACGCATTCACAAGTCAGAGCAAGTGTTTGCTGTTTGTGATCTCCCACTTACACTGGCTGGCCCACATACACAATAGCACCATAGGGATGCAGGTATGTATTTATTCTGCCATATTGAAAGTTGCTTTGAACACCAGGCCCATTATAGTCACAGCGATGCCAGCTAGCCTGGCAAGTCACAAGGCGCTCACATGTGCCTCATACCCAGCTTGAGCAAGCTCATGCAAACAAGTCAGCTGGCACTATCTCTTGACATCAGGTGAGACTGCTGCAGGATGGTGCTGCAGTCTGTTTCAGACATTAATTCCTTCACTTAAAATTTCCCCTCACATTTCTTTTTTAATTTTGGGGTGAGGGAAACACACCTCATCCATCTCCAGAAACAATTATGTTATCACCTCAGCTGTTGCCTGATGGCTATGGGCTGAGCATTTAGCTATCTGAAGGCAAGAATTAAGTCCCATGGGATCAGGCTCAACTGTTGCCTACAGCTCCACCATAGATTGTCTGCCTGCTGTATCCAACACAAAAGAGAAACAAGCATAGGAAATTACAGACATGCATCACCTGAAGACACCATCTCTTCTCTTGCTTGTTGGAACTTTCACTGGTTGAGTCATCTATTTGTAAACGTGCGTGGTCAGCAAGGGAAAGGAAGAGTAGTAAAACAGATCCTCCCAGACACACCTACTTGATGTACTGATACAACTCAAAGGCATGCTACTTCTGATTGACTATTCTCTAGCTCCACAGGATCAGATGTTGGCTTCCTGGTTTTTAGATTTCACTGAAAAGGAAAGTTTAAGATGTAAAGAATACAATAGCACAAGAACCTAAAAATGTATACACTAGAGAAGAATCAGGCCACAAACTGTGAACTGTAAAAAGGAGAAACTGAAAAACAGCACTGAGGGCAAATGGCAAGTTGCTGAAACCACCACAATCACTGGGTTCCAAGCTCAGCTGAAGTCCTGCAGATCCTCCTTCTGACCACAGCTGCTCTATCAGAACTTGATTTTTGGCAGCTACAAGTACTGCTTCAGAATGAAAGCTGTGCAAGACAATGAAAAGGCCAAATGTGCAGAACAGGTGAGCAATACAGGAGGCAAGATATGTCCCAGATGTTCTTGTTACCACTATTTCTGTGCATAGTCTGACCAACTACACAGTTGCTGTTTGGAAGCACCAGAATAATCCATCTGTTCTGGACATTACATATTTATTTCACTAATTTGTGTGACAATGCATCACAGACTTCCTGCTGCCATGCCTGCAGGATACAAGTCACTCACTCAGCTGAGGCACACACCTGTATTCTCCGCTGACCAGTTTCAGGCATACTTGGCATTTTTTAAAAAGGAAAATGGAAGCTTGCATTTTCTCTCCTGAACTGAACAAAACCAGTCACTGTGTGTACAGCAACGCAAGGCCCAGGAGCAGCATGGCTTGTAACACTAGTTTACTATATTAGCAAAACACACCTGGAAATATGCCTTAAACAGTGAAAGGTTATGAATCAAAGACTTAGTTTTGACTTCATGGACCTCATGGACCTTTCTTCTTCCCTCAACCCCAGGTATCTCCGGAGAACTGCATGAAACTGAAAGAACCCAGATTCTGGGAACTGAACCATTGCCCATAGGATCGGTGATTGCCCTCTTCAGAGAGACAATTCCCTGTATTCCCTTAAAGGAAAGCAAAGGGAGGGAAAGGAAGGACCAGCAGGAGGGAATGCCTAAAAAGAAAGTGAGGGAGGGTTGGAAACACATTTTTTAATGTAGGCCAGTGACACTCTGCCAGTGACCAGAAGGGATTCAGGAGCAGATCAGCAGATAGCTGACAAAAGGGTGTGTGGACAGCTGTAGCAGGGGCAGTAAATGCACCTACAGCAAATCAAAAGCACCTGGTCAGGAGTGAAGGTCATCAGACAAAACCTTAACACAGCCATGTTTTTGAACAAACCTTAACTGCACAATATATATTGACTCAAATATTAGTATGGTCAGGCCATGTTGTTTCTGATCTGACTCAGGAAGCTCTAGTGATCCTCAGCATACTGCTGAACTACAGCCTCTATTCTTTCCTCCTTCCCCCAGATTTGATCACTTTTTTTCCTGGAAGGGGTGGTGGTGGGAATTAAAAGGTCCTACTCGCATTCCAAAAGGAGATGAGCAAAAACTGTTGAAGCCTTAAATATTGCCACAGGAGGAGAAGACCATCACATGGCTCATCAACACAATATTTTTATGCTTCAGGAGACTAAGTTAGTCTTTCTATCAGACTTTGGACACTTCCATGGGTGAAAAACAATTGTGTTGGCAACAACCACCACCATCTCCTCACAAACATTTTCCAAACCTACTTTCAAGTTCTTTCTAAAATCTTCTTTAAGTCCTGCACATATCATTAAAGGAATACCGAGGAAGAAGTCCCTGGATAGAATTCAAATTCAAACTGTAAAGGTATTGTATTCCAGCTCTTAACAGGTACACTAAAAACATCTCAACAGCCAGGACCAGCTCACAGCCACCTATAGACTTGGAAATGAAGAAAGAGCTCTAGCTTTCTTTCCTCTTCTAACTTCCAATCTGGCATTTTCAACGTAACTTTGATTACTGTAAGTAATGTTTATATGTGTCAACAACATTTTCAGGCCTAGGAACCTCTATTTCTACAGAATAA